TAATTTGAAAATAAAAGGGAACCAAATTATGAAAATACAAATTTTGTTGGAAACATTTTTCGCTCCGATAAATATTTCGCTAGTTGCGGTCTAGATGTGAGCAGAAACGCACGTAAGTCTAAATGTAAAATTCCCGTTATTGTTCTCCGATTTAAAGAGAAAACTGATGTTTGTCACACACACATTTAGCAGAACTCCCAGATACTAAATTTCAAGAAAATTTGGTCGGCTATTCTCGGATTGCTACATGCGATTAGACGAACAAACTGACATGGCGAAGCTAAACGGTGCACTTTAAAAAATGTTCGTTATTAATGCGCCACAGAACGTTTTATTTCCTCTTATCTTCGATAAATAAATTATTTATGAAGAAATTTATACTATTTTTGTCATCGCCCCTACAATTAAAGCGTTAAATACGTAGCTATAGGTACACGTGGATTTGAGTCGCATGTTGTTGAGGGTCACCAAATGTATGATGGAGGTAAAACACCTGATCATGCTCGTACCCGTAACACTTTAAATCAAAGTGGTTACTGTATGTACTACCTACTTTAACAGTCAAGAGCCTAGCATTTTCCCCAGAGGCTGTATTAGTAATGGGTTCGTGCGATTCTCAGAGTAAAGAGCGATCAGGCTAATTTCTCAAAATAGTTTGCGGTTCGTCGTTGTAACGGAAACGCAATTTGTTTTCTGTGACGTATGAGTGAATTTTTAATATTAAAGAAAAGTAAAAAAATTGGGCTATCCCTGTGACAGGCCATGAAGACCCATAGGGTTGTGAGACGTTGAGGGTCCCACATTATCTAGACAATCGGCTCAAAGATGGCGGTAAGGTTGTCAGCCTTATGCGCCGGCTGCGTTTTACTCCCCAGGAAAATTATTTAATTAATTCCTGGTACTCATTTCTGTTAGAGACTGAGTCGACCCCAGGACCATAGTGCGGCCGGAAGAATTAGGTCCATTGAAAAAAAAAAATTCAATGACCTCATCGGTATTTGAACCCGCGACCTTATTTAGATAAACTTCATGCTTAACTAAATATTTAGCTGAATAAAATAGTCTACATTTCATCTATTAATCTGTCACCTATAAACTTCTCGACTACTAAGCATGGCCTAGACAATTAGTTACTCCATGAGAAAATCCGAACACAATGGCAACAACAAGGAAGACAGGTTAGCTGAAGATTCATATTGTGGTTTTCTTGGTTATGATACCGTGTACTTTGGTAGGTCGTTATCAAAGTTTCGGAGGAACGTACTGCCTCCATCTTCAGTGTGGAAGTCGAAGACAGAGCATTCCTCCGAAGCGCTGGTACCCTCCTACCACACTATTAGGTAGCACAACTAAAAAAAACACACTATGGTGGTTCACTGAGAAATTCAGTAAGATCAAATTATTTTCAAAAATATTCGGTCAAATATGGGGGCGTTGGGCCTGTTCCGATTCATGATTCCGCAACAACGACCCTCTGGTTTAGATACTTGGCAGGATTAGCTACACAGGCAACTGTCTTACCTCTAGACTTCTACATACGCCAGAAAGGGCGGACATACACAGAAGCCTAACGCCATATTCAACCCACGATTCTAGTGTTCGAGGGATCAAACCACGGGACCACTGTTAACGGCTTCTTTTGAAATAACAATAATAATAATAATAATAATAGCTAGAAAGAGGCATCGCTGTAACAGGCCGTGAAGGCCCATAGGATTGTGAGACGTCGAGGCTCCCACATTTTCTCTACACAATCGGTTCACAGATGGCGGTAAGGTTGTCAGCTTTATGCGCCGGCAGCCCTTTACCCTCAGAAAGATCCCTGGTACTCATTCCTGTTAGAGGATGANGGGCTTCCATGGTCTGTTACAGGGATCGTCCACCTTGCTTCAAGATAACATTCTTAACAAGTAATATGCGTGATCAGGATAAGTCGACAGAAACCCTAACATAATAAGGCTAATATTTGGGGGATAATATTAAAGTGGATCTGAAAGAAACAGACTGTAACGATGTGAACTAAGTTAAGCAGGCTAAAGATAGGTGCAGTGGTGGAAATCCTTTGTTGCAGCGATGATGTGATCCTTCATGTTATATATCAGTAAGTAAACAAACACGTTAAGCATCTACTCCTCGAATAAAACTGTGTCGCGAATTCTGATTCCAGAAGACACAGCGGTGGCATCCACGTACAAATTTTCATCTCGAGCTCTTCCACGCACTGGCAGGTACCGCAAACCCACATAAAACTTGCAACGCTTAACTAAAAGAAGGGAGAAACTGGTAACCAAGGAATAAATTCAGCATTATTTGCTATATGCAGTACGCACGACCACAGCTTCTTCCGAGAGAAGTGGGGGAGTTGTTTTGAATACCTCCCGCTGACCAGCGCCACTTGTATCTTTTGTTCAAACAAAGTGAAGACGGTGGTGAAGTTTACAATACTTTTTTGGTTGTTTCTCGCAACTCTGCCGACACGGCCGGCTACCTAAATCCGAGTCGGGGATTTAGCATCCCGGGGGTTGAGCCCGACGGGGTGGGTTTGGTTTGGTGTTGAGGTTAGAGGGTATGAGGGATGGGGAAAACGGGACCAGGGTTGGGGTTGAGGGCAGGTTGGCCGCGCACTCTGATGAGCTATTGATGAGTTCAACGTGTCGACACCAGCTGAACCAATTACAGAACCAAGCTTACACCCTCGCCACCCTTCCTATCCCTGATACTTACTATCATCGGGGATTACGAAAGGCACTTTGTCATATTGATACGGATTTTCTGCTCCGGATAGGCTGATCCCTTCACACGGAGACCACACCAGGAATACAAAATGCTCTCTCTTTTTGATTTCTTTTTCCTCACACTAGTAGATGAGGGGGAGTTCTAGTGAGGTTATGAAGATACTTGGCCAATGCCGTTGGATTACTCAAGATGTCCAGTCAGGTGGAATTTTGTTTTCATGTTCAGGGAGAGAACATGAGTATTGTTGCTGATGACAGATGTGAAGATTCTCAGTTCACCTAGCTTTGCGGGTCGTAGTAGCATCACGCGTGATGTCACATTTGACATGATACAACAACACTAGATGGCCTTAGAGCCGTGCCGCCTCGTTCTACGAGTAAACCAGCCAGACATGAATAACATTAAACCTGTCGCAGCTACACAAGTTACACACACATTCTACCAGCGTTACAAGCGCAGGATGTACGTTTCTTGTTCAGTGCTGCCAAGTTCCGCCTACCATAGCACCAATGAGAAACAAGCGGCCGGACTTAAAACACCAATCAATGCGCAAACTACTTACGTAGGGCATAATATTAGCCTTTGATTCAAGACAACTTCAAACGAAACATCTTCATGCAGTGAAAAGGTAAAAATCCATAAAACCACTTCAAAAACTTAACCTTCATGCGAAGAAAAATCACAATTAAAATATATGAAATATCGGAGATGAAGTAAATACCGTACGAGTACATATGAACTTCTGTATACATTCGAAACACCCAAAACAATACGGCATTTTGAGCAAAATGCCCGCATTATATGATATAACTCTATGGTGCAGATGTCTCCTTAATAAGCTTACGGTTACACAGCAATTTAAGAATTTACCCGCCTTTTATGGAACCAGAAGGCTCATTGCGGTCTCTAACATTCTACCAATGATCCCTTTTCTGAGCCACATCCAATCCTTCCACGAAGCGGCTGTCGTTTGGGACTGAGCAAGATCGCGAAAACATGAGAACACTTAGTACTTGCCATGAAGGAGATTCAAACCGGGTACCCCGCTTCAGTTTACCGCCTGAGCTAATCTACTCAGTGAAATAAGAGAAAGGAGAAATTATAAATAGGAAACTTCATTACATTCTAATCAACATTTTCGTAAAGTTATCCCTGTTCCGCACAACTAGATATCGGCATCGGAGAAAAGAGAAATGATACGAAACAAGCAAATGCAGGAAACCGAGTAACGACAAATTTCGCTCCATGCTTAGCGTAACAATTTTGACGCGTTGGTTCCCCTTCGTTTACTTATCCAGAAAACTGTATGACTTACAGAAAAGTGTACCCGGTACAAAATTTCTTTCACTTTCCTCTACAACTGCCGTTCTAAACATATGTCGTTCCGATAAATATTTACCCACTTAAGGTCGAGATGTGCCCAGAAACATACGTGGGTTCCAAGTAAAAGTCCGTTACTGTTGCACCATTTTAACCAAAACTGGGAAGAGTCGATAAATGTTGGCGAAACTCCTGAATATAAACTTTCACGAATATCCGCTGAGGGGTTCTCGAGCTGTTACATGCGGACAGACAGAAAAGGCGAAGTTAATGTGAGAATCTTTGCAACTGTTAGTTGTGAACATGAAGAACGAACCACATGCGGAAATTTGGCGGCGAAATCGCTTACAAGAGGTTACATGGATAATAAAATAAAAGTGGTTATTTCAACAGTCTTAAAATGGATTCTAGATAAGAAGGTTAAGTCGCGCCATAGCTCAAGCAGTTAGTCTCTCGATTTCCACCGCGGCGGCGGCCCGGTTTCGATCCCGGGTATGGTCAAGTGGGATTTGTGGTGGACAAAGTGGCACTGGGGCAGGTTTTCTCCGAGTACTTCGGTTTCCCCTGCCAATCTTCATTCCACCAAATTTTCCATCATCATAATCACCCGGGGCAGGCTACAATAGGCCAATCAGTGGCCGCCGTGCCGAGTGGATCCAGTTGGACTCCACCCCTCACTAAGCGAATTAAAAAAAATACGTAAGAAGGTTACGAAGCCATGGCTCATTATATTATGTAATGATGGCCTCTTATATATATATTTCTTTTCCTTGGCACTACAGCCCCAGTGGGCCTAGGCCTACCTCCATGAACTTCTCCGTTCACTTCGGTTTTTCTAGATCTTACACATTCGGTAGGACTCCTTGGGCGGGTGATCAGCTCGTCGCNGAGACAGTACATGCCGGCCTCTTATATTAGGGTTAGAATATTCTGAAATGACTTACGGATATGTCTGCATGCAATCCATCGACTGGAACATTCATAACAAAACCACCAAAGACAGTGCGGAGAAGTAGTCGGCAAGTACTCACCTGAAAATGAAAGCATTCAAGAATTAGTTACAACTGAAAGACGAAGTTACTATCTCATGACGATGCATACATGGGTCAAGCAACAGATACAAACAACTGAAGTTTGTGTTACTGGGGGCAATCAATAACATATGTAACTTTATTTCATTCTGTAGTCTAATGTTTCTTTAGAATCATCACATGAAAACATTTAGTACCTACATCCAAAAGAACCATAAAACTTCACGCTACTAACACTTTTGTGGTGTCGGGGAGTCCGAAAATATTTAAACACATTGTATTTTGAGAATAAATTACAATTCTGCAAAAGGAAGTTAACTAGATAACTAAACAATGTCCTTGATAAGCTGATAGTTCCTAGGCCATTCAGAGAATTCCCAGCCGTTTAAGCAAGGCGAAGGTCAAAAAAGATAACGCAGAAATATCTGATTATGTCATGAAATGTGTCTTCTATCCCCCCCCCCCCCGGGGAGGAGGCGGAGGAGAAGAACCGCGAACTCTCTGGTAAGAGGTTTT